GTAGGAGCTGCGTGATTAATTTTGTCTTGAACATCTGTCAGTTAACAGCATTCCCAAACTTCTAGGGTGAAGGACTGCCATGCTGCCTCACCGGAGATCCTCCTCCTTCCAGTGAAAAGCAGGTGCCTTCAGAGGGAGGTGAAATAATTCTTCATAGCAGTAAATGTGGGATAAACTCATCTCACCTTCCTCCCTGTCCTATTTCCACGTTAGCTTTCTCCTGAATCTCCAATTCCTAAAGATTTGCTTAAAATGAGATACAGAATTCCATACGTGCTCTGCAGTGCTACGTATCATCACTTGCTTTCCTTCTCCAGACCTAGAGGTGTTTTAATTGAAATCATTAATTCCTTTGCACCTTCTGAATAAAGAAATAAAGAAATAAATAATTTACTCACTGATAGTTTTTATGTTTTGAATTAAAATCAGTTGGCTGGATAAATTCTGAGCAAATGAAGGGCAGAAAAATCCTGCCTTGTTCACAAGGTGAGAGGAACAAGATAATCTGAGGTCACCTGTGTGCCTTGCTGAGTTCTGGGGTACAAATGGAAATGTTTAATTAACTTCTCCAAAAGTGTAGTTAATATATGTATTAAACCTGTCTCAAAACAACAAAAGTATCCTCAAAAGCCTTGGTTGAGCCGTGAGATTAATTCCTAATTTTGACTGTGGGATTATTCAAATGCAGAAAGAGTCTTGTAGGTATTAAAGGCATTGCTAGCTGGCTTTCAGTGCATTGCCACAGGGAGCCTCAGAATCCAATTATCTCTGAAGAAACATGTTAAATATGCTCATTAACATGTAAAAAAAAAAAGTAGAAACACGTATTAGAGAAAAGCTGATGTATTACACTTCTTAATGTCACAATGAATTAGCAATAAAGAAGGTTGCAACAGAGATAACTTGCTGAAACGCCTGGGCAGCATAGGAAAATAAAGTATTTTATTCCAATTAGCTTAATTCCTGACAATGACATAGATGTAGTGATAAAACTCTCTGTATAATGGCTTTCAGCCCTGGGAAAATTTAGGAGTTGTGTTTCATCTATGGAAGGAGGTAAGAAAAAAGAGGGAAGCCTGAAACTCAGCCTAAACTGCCCTCAGCAGGCAGAAGAAAGAAGGAAATGAGGAAGAAATGGCACAGGAGGTATGTTAGGAAGGTAAAAAAAACCCCACAGATAAAAATCTGGGTCCCACGGCTGCTCAGAGTGGAGGTACCAACCAGGTGATACCCTTCCTAAAGAACATACCCTTCTCTAGGCCTAGGGTAGGTAAACCAACCTCACCTAAAATTCTTTGCTTTGAAAAAAAAAATAGAGAAAATGGGTGAAAGTCAGTTCCACACCAGCTCAGCCTGGTCAAATTTATCATCTAAAATAGATGAGTTCCTTCAGCAAATACACCTCAAAAACTTGGCAATATTAGTGGAGCGAGTTTGTCGAGTAAACAACATGCTGCAGACTTGTTCCCTCCTCCACCACATGCCTTAAACTCCACATCTCCATGGTAAATCCACCTTGGAAAGCCAACTCCAATTAACACCCAGCTTGGTTGTTTCAAACTCAAACTCCCAAAGGATTTGTTCTTCTCACAAGTGCAGGTGGCATCACCAAGGAAGGAGCCATCCTCATGCTAAAGCAAGATGCTGCCCTTCCTGCCCCAAAGTTTGAGCTGTGATGTTAATGATGCTGTTCCAGCACCAGCACGGCTTGAAAGTCTTGGTGTGTCCAGGAATCTTGAATCACAGCCTTGGAGGCTGCTGGTTCCTTTTGATATTGGGTGAAAAGAGAGAAATTGGAGCTCAAGTTTGATCTCAACCAAAGGCATCATGAGCTAATTATATCAGATAATTTGGTTTTGCTGGAAAAGATGTTTTTGGGGTAAAGAGCGACACAAATGCTGCTCTTCCATTATAGAGGAGCTCCTAGGAAGATCACCTTCTTTCCAGACCTTTCCAGAGAGCAACCCCACCCAGCTCCATCCCAATCCTCCTCAAACCTCCCCCCAGGATCCTTGCAAACCAGGTGTAAGCTTGTGCAAAGCCTCCCCTCCTATTTCACAGCTCTTAAGGCAGCACCACCAAAGTTTCATGTGATTTCCTTCCCACCTGCCCTCTGCTCCCTGGATCCAACACGATTTATGGTGTCGAATGGTTGTTGATGGTTTTGCTCTTTTCTGTCCCACATCACTTTTTTAACATCTTCACGTTATCATTTGACCCTCTCAACCTTTCCTGCTTCATCAAGCACGTACAACATCTTGCAGAACATAAACCTGTTATTGTCTACGGTTGACTACAAAGAGGAGACACCACCCTGCTCAGGGTTTGAGTGGTTTGACTAGAAATAATTTCAGTAAGAACACCTTAAACAATTCTGCCTCTCCAAGGTGCCCCAATAATTGCCCCCCACCCTCCCTGCAGCTTAACGAGAAGGTCAGCAGCAAATATGTCACGTTTTAAAGGAAAATGCTGTGTTTCCACCCAGGTATGATAGAAAAATTGATATATAGAGAAATAAAAGGCTACTGACCAGGAGATCACAGCTCCTCACCAGGCAATGCTCGCTTAGGATGACAGAAGAGCTGCTTGATGGCACCTGGGATTTAAAACTGATATAAAAAAACCCTCTCAGTTTAAATAAATTATATGGTTTCAGACAAAATCAGCCAGAAATAAAAAGAGCCCTGAGCCCAAGAGGACTCAACACACAACCAAAGGACAGGACAACCTGAAAAGCACCCCTGACCCTACAACTTCCCATAGTTATTCCCTCCCAGCTCTTCACCTGGGAGGATTTCAGATAAATGACCCATTAACCTTCCCCCTGCCAGGTGCAGAGTTTTCCTGAAAGTACTTTTAAGGTTTTTGGGGGGTTTTTTAAGTACAAAACTGGATGTATTTTATCTTCTGTGCCCAAAACACCTTGTACTTCAAAAGCTACTTGGATTTCTGGTATCATTCTTCTTCAGTTTTTCTTATGAACCATGAAATGGTCAAGAAAAGGACTTTAAAAAATAGAAAGTTCAAGTGAAGACACTTAAAAATCTCACTCAAAGTTCCTAGGAAACAACTTCCACACCACACTGCATTTTTAGCAGCTGGAGGGTGATAGGGAGATAACACAATTATTTAATAATTGCATTTAAGTCTGTGGGTCTCCCAGTTAACCCACTGGGCCCCAGTATGGTGGCCTCAGACACAGGGTTGCAGCGTGAACTGGTGCTGGACACAACACGAGGAGTTTAAATCCCTTCATTGCTATTTGCCTCAGTTTCCCCTTTTGGTAAATGGGTGATTTCTACCTACCAGGCCCACTGTCCCCAGTTGCTGGCTGGCTCTGGGACATGTCATGTCACCTCTCTGTCCTATTCCAAGTGCCACTTGGTGGCACTATTGGAAAAGATTTCTGTGTTTGATGACTACATCCCAGATTGGATCCAGGACAGGGAGTTTCTGGAAGGAATCACATTCATCTTGGCATCACAATCTCCTCATTTTTTTCTTCCTTTGTTTTCTCTTTATTCATCATCCAAACACTCCTGGGTGGTTTCTTCTCCTTGCGTGTCAATCACTGAGGATCTTCTCACAAAAACCATATTTACCAAACATAAGAGTCCTGGGCGTTGCTCAGGCATCACCTTAAAGAAAATCCTCTGGTGGTAAAAATAGCTTTTTCTGTTAAATTCCTCTGCAATGTGTCTGCAGGTGGGGCAAGCTTGGGAAGGGTCATGAATTAACTCCAGAAAACAACAACAAAAAAGCATCAGAGCAGAAGTTAATGAGAAAGAGACAAATGAAGACAGGGGTATGACAGGGTAATTGGGTGAGAGATGTTTCGGGTCACTCTGTGCTGAAGGGGTGTCTCCTGTGGAAGATGTAGGTTGTGATCATCAAGTGTGTATATAAGACATCTGAGAGCTGATCTGCTCCAGATTGCACTTCTGAAGCTCAGTGCTCCTGCTTGCTCACTCAGGTAAGTCTGGACAAACTCTTCACACTGTCTTCTTCACTGTGAGGGTGGTGAGACACTGGAACAGGTTGCCCAAGGAAGTTGTGGATGCCCCCTCCCTGGAAGTGTTGAAGGCCAGGCTGGATGAGGCTTTGAGCAACCTGGTCTAGTGGAAGGTGTCCCTGCTGCTGGCAGGGGGGTTGGAACTGGATGAGCTTTAAGGTCCCTTCCAACCCAAACCATT